TGTCATGATATAGTAATTAAAAATTGTTATTTTACGGTGATAATCTTGTTTTCTTGTGCCCAATAATGCATAATTTCATTGGATAAACACGTTTAGATTGAATGGTAATTTATAATCAGTCACAAGAACGTCGAATCTGAATCACTTGAAAAAAACACGGGGGTGCTTAACTTTTTTCCAGATGTATATTTTAAAACAATATAGGGAGATATAAGTTTAGAGACTTATAGCTTATTAATAGAATTTGTTTTCCTGTACAGTTTATAATTACTAAGTAGGTTAGCAGCACTTCAACAGCTGTTCATTGCAGTTTTCTCTTACACAAAAGCTATTCATCAACAAATCATGCTTAACTTAGGCATTAAACACCACAGTATTTGACATTATATAAATGACTGATATAAGTAGTATTTCAACTGAGGCTTTATGTACTGTAAAGCAGTTGATCCAATAATCTTTGAAATTGAACAAAACTGTCATTGGCAGTGGTGTACAAAACTCAAGGTGTCCAGATGAAATACTATTAACATGTGATGAAAATTAGCATCTGTTCTATTGTAATGTAATATTACACAAACTACTGATCAACAGATTATATTTTTTTCCAGCTTGGGCATTATACATTATAAAACTACAGAACTGAACAAGATTTAGTAAATATTATTTAAAAGAAAAACATCATAAAGAGGGTGGTATGACATGGAAATGTGTAAAAACAGAAAAAAACTACAAAGGAAAAAAATTACTTACCCGAGGAGAGAAATCTACAGGTTCCAAACCTCGACAGTCAAAAATTATAACTGTTTTAAACTGATTGCTGTCATCCGCAGTATAACTTTTAATTGAGTCTTTTATTATTTCTGGAATTGGAATAAAAGTTTACATTAGGTTCTGTGAATAAATATAAGATTAAATATTTTTGTTTTTTAAGTTCACATCTGTACAGTGAGCCCTTAGCATTTTGCCCACACAGGGGTCAAACCCAAACTTTTAGTATTATAAGCCCTAAAACTTACCACTGAGTCACTGGGGTCAAAATGAAATGTAAAATTTCTGAAAGTACACTTATTTGCTTGATATACATTTTCTTTCAAGAAACTAGAAAAAAGTATCTATACAGTGGTAAGTAAACCAAATAAAAAAAATTATTTTGGAATAATTCAACATTAAAAAATACTACCATTTACTGCATAAGCAGAATTTCTGAACCACTCATATACTGGAAATAGAGTAAAGATTTCAGGTTTCAGTAATTTGTAAAAAGAATGCTTGCCAAAGAAAATGTTTCTGAATATAAAATATTAAAAAACGATTTCTATTCCTTTTTAGAATTTTATGGCTACTTTTTAAAACATCACTTTCAGGAGAAAGTAGCTATTAGAAAATGATTATTAGTAAGTTTGTACTTATGTAATGTGGTCGTTGACCACAGTAAATAGTATTTGTTAAGGTTATTAATGCATGTAGATGAGGATACAGGAAGACAGTCACTACTAGCTAGCAATTTTACAGCATGTCTACTGTACACTTTTCTTCTGTTTAGAGAATATTTATTACTAAACAAATATTCTGATTTACTTTCCTCTCAAATGTTTTTAAAACACCTAACTAGTGTAGTTTTCATGTTAGATACAGAGGTTTTCCATAGTTTAGACAAGTGAGAACATTTCTATTAAAAACACAAAATCAGAAGAAATCAAAGGGTGTTTTAACAATATTAAAAAGTGACTTATTAAACTGTAATACATAACTGTAGAGAAAGCAGAACTTAAATAGACTGGAATGGTTATGTATAAATACTTTATAATAAAACTTGACACACACACACAATTTTTTTGTTTTGCTGATACTGTGTTAAACTTGAAAATCATTATTTTTCTCTTATTAAAAAGTATTTTAAGAGTACGAGGAAGAAAGGTATATATTCAGTTTATAAGCTTGGGTCTTTCTTACCAATAGAGTTTTCTCTTCCACAGAGTTTGCACTTACTGACTAGATTAGCTTCACCTCGACTTCCTTTCAATGGAACCTTCTCCTATGTACAAAATTCGATTATTTCTCCAGTCTTGAGTCTACAGGTCATCTAGTTTTTCTTGTAATCTTTTAACTTCTAAAATTCATATCACTATAACTTCAAAACTTATTTCAGTTTATGATGATGATGATACATCTATAAAATATCAAGCCTACTTTTTAATAAACTTTACATGTAAAAAACTTCCTTAATTTTTATACTCAACCCTCCACATAAGATTAAAAAACGTAATAATAATTATCAACATTAATTAAAATTAGAATCTATACAAGAAACTATAGTATCCAGGTGTGTAAAAATCTACCAGCGTGTTACCAGGGGCTAATAAAAAATGTTCAGTTTGTGTTACCATGAATTGTAATACATACTAAGTTGTGGTTCTGTACATGTGCATGTACATAAAATCAAACCTTATTTCTTATTACTTTTTGTGGTTGTTTTTCAATTTTTTTCCACTTGCTAACTATCAACTACCAATGAAGAATGGTATCCTTTTATCAAGAATAGGCTAATCCATCGTAAGCCTGATGTATATTCATGACTAAGTTACCAACTTGTAAATTAATATGATCAATTATTTAGTTTTGTATTTAAAACACTTTCTAATCAGCATTATTATTTTCCCATGAGATTAGAATTTATTTTTTTCAATGCAAAGTTTAAATGATACCAGATAAAACAGCAGCTTTTTTTACTAAGTCTGAAGGAAAAGGGTGAGTTGTTTCATATGTCAGATTGCCCATTGGTTGTTTTGATTTCATTATATATGTAGACTGAATAACCTGCACAGACATGTGATGTTTTTATATATTATGAATTAAATCATATTATTTTCCACATGTCAGGAATACCAGTTTATAACATATGTAGACTGAATAACCTGCACAGAAATTTTCCATCTCCATCACATTTGCTATAGTAAGTCCTGTTATTTTTATCCTTGTAATATTGTGGAAGAAGTCACTGCCATGAATACAAATATGTATATATTTGCAATGTGTAATAATTTATCTACTGTAGTGTGATAAAACATAAACAGTTGGATTAGATGAATTTCAATTTAGACTAGTACATTTCTCATGACTACAAGTGCAGAGCTAGTATGTAAAAAACTTTTTATACCCCTGAATATTTATAAAACATTAACTATCTAAGACTCTTACTTACCAAGTTATAGTTACAGTTAATAAAACAACCACACACCTTACATACAGTTACCAAGACAAAGATATGCCTTACATACAGTAACCAAGACAACCACACACCTTACATACAGTTACCCAGACAGAGATATGCCTTACATACAGTAAACAAGACAACCACACACCTTACATACCGTTACTTAGACAACCACACACCTTACAGATCGTTACTAAGACAACCACATACCTTACATACAGTTACTAAGACAACCACACACCTTACATACAGTAATCAAGATAACCACACATCTTACATACAGTTACTAAGACAACCACACACCTTACACACAGTTACTAAGACAACCACACACCTTACACACAGTTACTAAGACAACCACACACCTTACAGTTACCAAGACAAACATACACCTTACATACAGTTACTAACATGACTGGAAAACTTATGTACAGTAATGATGATAAGTGTAAACACTATACATAATACCTATGAGAATTATTAAGCTATTTAACATGTTGTATAAAACTGCATAGGAAGCAACAAAAACTATAAAAAGAAAAGTTTAACACAAGAAGTTATAGATGAGTTTAAAAGTTCAGAAATTTGATTTCAAGAATTTATTTCTTAAAAATACATGTTTATAATGATATATAAAACACACATAAAATACTTAATACGGAGTTCAAAACCAAAATAATAAAGTTCAAAAGACAACATGCAACTAACTGTGGCAACTTACCGCCATCACCACATACTGCCATTTATCTGACTCTTCTCCACAATTCATGCATTTTAGCTGTGGATATAAGAAACACAATACCAGGTTAAAGTTATAGACTAACAATGTATGAAGAACATCTATAAGAGCATATTTTGACACTAACTGAATGTAATGAAGGTCAAATAGCCAGCTTAATATCAGTGGTGCCAGTATAATACCCTTTACAATCAATTATAATATAATTTATCATATTCAAACTTTGGCAGTTTAAAAAAAAAAGGTGTCCATGCCATAAAAATTCTTAACCTAACAAGCTTGTTTGTTTGAAGTTAAGTGCAAAGCTACAAAATAGGCTATCGGTGCTCTGCTCAAATCTAACAAGTAGCTTATATACATGGTATGATGATCACTAATATGTTGTATCCTAGCTTGCCTGATGAGCTCTGATATTTAGGAAATTGCATCACTGGCAATGAATATGGTAAACAAATGGTTGAGATACTATTATACACACTTCTAATAAAAACCTCAAGAGACCTAATAAATAACACAGTATCTAAAATTTCAATAACTCTAATACTACTACCTTATGACAAATATAACTGATTATAATCATGCTCTGCTCATTTGAAAAAACAAACTGCACAATATCAATATCATTTACAATTTCATGTTCAGTGTTATAAAAACCAAAGCCGACAATAGAATGGGTAAAAACAATTTCATTAAAGTTGATATTTCTTGAGTTTTTAAATTAATCTTGATTTATTAAGTCTTCCAAATTTAAAGCATATATTTCATGTTAAAGGTTTTTGTTTTAGTGGAGTCTATAAATTAATAGGGTCATTTAAAGGTTAAAGATGCACATGACCTACTTTTTCCCTGTAAGTGTTGAGAAGGTTCTAGACCTACGATCATGTGATAGATGGTCATTAATCTTGTATTTAAAAACAAACCTTGCTTAACAAGCTTATAAAAATGCCTCCCAAACTTCACCTGTAGTTGAAGGGGTATGTGACCCCTTTTTCCAAATAAAAATATTTACACAGTGAGACAGTTAAAGGCAGAGCCAAAGAATGTGAAATTTAAACAGAGGAAGTTTTCAGTGCTTTCCATGGAAGCAGATAACCTTGCAACAGTTCTTAGAAAAGCAAAAGGCACTAATTTCACACCCCAATCCAATCATGACCAATAACCTCATTTGCAAATTGGATGCAGCAGTTATGAAAAAGGTCACTACTATGAAACTGGAAACATCTCTTGGTACCATTAACAAAACCAGAAACAAGGACTTGGAGTTAATGAATGCTTACAGTCAGAATTTCGTAAGCCAATGGCTCTATTCATGAGAAGATGGCCTAGGTAACTTGAATTACAGCAACCCTACTCGACTACTTACCCAGTGCAGATCCAATAGACTTTTTACCTTTAGTTTTCTTAAGCATTTTTGGAAGTTATACACCTAAAATGTTAAATGAAAAACTGCATAAGAAAAGCAGGGAAAATATTAGAAAGTCTGTCTTGAAGAAAGTTGGTCTAATGGAAGCTTCACTGTAGAGTCACTACTAAGTAGCAAGGAAGTCAGATGGCACATAGTTACTAGGAACTATGTCTTCAGTGGTAATATGTTAAAAATTTAATCATAATTTCAAAAAATGAGTATATAAACTATATAGTTGAAATAAACCACCATATATTTCTACATTATCCATAATAGAATTACTATTATTACAAATTGTTAAGTTATTCATAAATAAATTGAAAAATAATGGCTATAAGGACTGGTATATGAAGAAAATGTTCACACTTTTTTTTAATAAATATGAAACTACATTAAAAATTAAACTATTGATCAGGGAAACTAAATTGTGGAGAACTTAGAAGGCATTAGTTACTCAAGGTTATCCTTGGTTTAAGTAACTAACTTTAATTTATTTAGATGTTTGCTCAGTATACCAAGGCTCCCCTGGATTATACTTGAACAAATTTTCAAGACAAAGAGAGGAGGATGGAGGCTTAAGAGCTATTAAGGTAAGGGTTTTTAGTTCTGTTTAACATCACTAATTATTAAATAAAAGGGTGGAGCTTGGGAGTGTTGTAGAGATATAGGGTGATTTATTTCAACTATAAGAATATTTTTTCACTTTTCATATCTTATAATATCAAAAAAATGTCAGAAGTTGGGAGTTTTACATTGTAGAATTTTAGGGTGGTTCAATTCTACTTTAAAATTACATCTAAATATTAAGGGTAACTGCCTTCCCAAAACTGGCTGCAGATAGTGAAAAGCAGAAGAAGTTGAGACGTTGTGGGTTCAAGCTCTCAACTCCCAACCCTTAACTGATTCTCCTTTGTTGCTGGTTAGTTTGACATTGACATCTGGATCTTGTCTGATAGATGGAATATCACCCATTGCATTTGGGTGCTATGGCCACATACAATATCCATTATGACTTGAGGATGACAACGAGGACTGGTATTGGAAGAATAATTTTAAAATTTGTTCTCATTATAATGTTATTTTTGTTTTGCATTAAGTTCATTATTGTTTTATAAAGCTGATTTAATTACTTACAGACAACTGATGCATTTAATAGCATTACATTTATTGATTTATTACAACTGATGTATTTAATAACATTACATTTATTGATTCATTACAACTGATGTATTTAATAATGTTACATTTATTGATTTATTACAACTGATGTATTTAATAACATTACATTTATTGATTCATTACAACTGATGTATTTAATAACATTACATTTATTGATTCATTACAACTGATGTATTTAATAATGTTACATTTATTGATTTATTACAACTGATGTATTTATTAACATTACATTTATTGATTTATTACAACTGATGTATTTAAT